ACAAGTATTAATCATAAATTATTTGTTGAAAACAAGATTTTTAAATAAATCAAATTGCTTAATAAACATTTTATAAAAATGAATGTTTTTATATAAAATATAGGAGGGAAGTTTATAAAGTTTAAAATTTAGGAGAGAGGAGGCCAAAATGCATGCAAAAACCGGCCATCACCTCTCCCCATGCCCTCTCTCTTCCCCAAAACACAATCATTAAGCTTAAACCCTTACTCCACCTCTTCCCTCTTCACTCTCTCACTTCACTCTCTTCTTCCTTCTCTCTAAACTCACGAAAATACTCTCATTTCTCTGCAAAATTTCGAGATTGTGAAGCCCTTGAAGTGTTCTTACTTCTCTCAAGGTCAAAACCAAGGTAAACAACATCTTCTTCCATAGTTTCATGGTTAAACCTCTTTTTCTTCTTAGTCTTCTCTACTTTTCGGATTCTATGCCTTTCCATGGCTAGAAATCTTTATTCTCCCCTTGTGGTTTGTAGATTCTCACCATAACACAATGCATGTGTTAGAGATGATGAAAATCCGGGATAAAACCCATGCAAGGAGTGGAAAAGATGCACATATGATCATGTGACATCAAAACCTAATATTTCATGTTCTTCTCCATTTCTTTTGTGTTCATGCATGAACAAAAGCATTTAAACCATTTCTAGTAATCTTGGATGCTCATTCATTCCATGCATGTGTTAGAAATCGGGCCTTACCAAAGACATGCATGATGTTCTTGTTGAAATACCCTAATAATGCACACAAGCAAACATGCAATCTGCCAGATTACTTTGTTCGACTTTGAACAGTCATAACTCAGTCATTTCTTAACCAAATCATGATATTCTTTTTGTATTGGTTAGTTCCACGAGTTAACTTTCGAACCCAACTGGTCTCACAGTAAAATATTAAATATCCGATTCTTAGCAGATTTTACAAAAAGGTTGCGCATACAGCTCTTTTTCTGTGATCACTATTTTTATCTTTCTTAAACAATGGCCTTAAACCCAACCATAAATCTGAGGAAAAATACCTTAGAAACATAACATATCTAGTGAATTATGGTTGAAATTTCGTGGCTTAAAACCTCACTGAATGGGCTACACAAATTCATGAACTTCAGCCACATTTACACTTCATGCATAATAGCATGCAACTTTTCTTAAATTGTTTGAAATCATTACCCTCATTTCTCTTCTGAATACATTCTTTTACATTTTTCCTTTTGAAAGCCCTTGCATGCATGAGATAATCTGGAAAATTTCAAGAGCTTTTGTTATTTCTTTGATTTACTAGAATTATTGCTAAAACCAAGGGCATAAATCATATAAAATACTTCCAGAGGTCAATAAATCCTAAATAAATTGATGGATGATCCTTATGGGGAATAATGACCCCTCACCAAATTTCAGCAATTTTTGTTACTGTTTCATATGATCTCTAATTTTCTTTTATTTAGGACATGATAAATTACAAAACCACTTTATAGGATGTGAAAATTGTATCTAACAATTTTCGCATACCTTACCTGTGATGGGTGACTCCAAAAAGTGATTTCAAGATTTTCCATCATGTTTTACTATTTTTCCCAATTTTTGGTAATTATAATGGTCTAAAAATGGGAGAAATAGTTCTGATTATCCAAAATTCATGAACATTTTCCAGGATATAATATTATAGAGTAGGAGGTTACATAAAAATTTTGAATATTTTTCTCTACTGTAAACTATTTTTCTCTTATTTTCTAAAGTTAATTGCACTAAAATACACTTAAATATACATAAATACCCAAAACCAGTTTATACATTATGAAAACCACTTTTGATATTTTTCCCAGGATATTTATACTGTAAATGATGTTACAAAAATTTATGGTGATTTATTTTAACTGTTTAATATTATTTCTTTAATTAATGACTATTTAAAGGAATAAAGCAAGGAAAAATAGAAATACCCACTGAAAAATATCTTTTATATTTTTCCTAGCCTATTTATGTATAATAACAATTAAATAAAAAGTTTGGGTAATTTTGGAAACCGTTTTCTATTTATTTCAATTTTTATTGAAATAAATGCTCAAAAATCATAAAATATAATTAAACAGCTTGGAAATCCATTTTTATAATTTTCCCAGCTTAGTATTGTGTAATAACAGTTAAATAAAAAGTTTGAGAATTTTTATCCCTCGAATGCTATTTTCGTGAATTTATGTTGTAATAAGGACTTAAAAATTTGGAAAGTTTATATTCCAAGGTTGTAATTAATCGCCCGATATATAGAATTTCATTACTTCATAAAAAGTGTAACTAATTGATATAAAATCCAATACTAAAACATAAATTGGCATTTCCCTATATGTAGAGTTTAGTATATTAGCATTAGATATCGACATGGAAACTCACTAGTGCGTGTGTTTGATGTCGTAGGATCCCGGTAGTAAGACGTTGGTGCATCCCGAAGTACCGCTTGTGTCTACACAAAACATCGTGAGTATTCACGCACTCCCCTATTTTCGGTTTTTATGTTTTGGGGTGGAAAAGCATGTCCAGAAAAACTACTGTTTGCATGTTGTATTTAAATTGAATTGTATCAAACATGATTGCTATTGTATTGCTATGTTTCTTTATGTATGTCTATGCAACACGGAACATGAGAACTTATCGTACTAAGGCCCTTCCCTTATCTCTAACCATTAACTCTTTGAGCCAATGGTCGTTATGGATAGCGCTATTAGGAATTGACAACTCCTCACTCGCCCGAATCGCTGGAGTGCATGATACCATATTCATCTATGGAACGATAAGCATAGATCTCGATAGGGCTTCAGTCATAGGTTTGGTTGAGACTCATTGTTTGCTCATACACATACAAACTCGTTTCTCGTTATAGCAATAAACTTGTATTCATTAATAGCAATCAACTTGTTTATCATTGAAGCAATGTACTTGTATTTACGAAAAGCCTTATTGTACGCTCGATTTTTATAAACTTGTGATACTCACCAACTATTTTCATAGTTGACGCTCGTTTTACATGCTTTTTCAGGAAGTAATTAGTAAGTGGATGTAAAGATTCATCATCATAGAGCATGCTGCATCGTGTTGAAGCTATTATGAAGTTATATTTTGAACAATGTTATTTTGAAAAACTTGTATTTTGTTTCTTTTGAAGCTATGGGTTGTAAACTTTTAAATACTGCTATGGTGATGTATCTTTATCTTTTGCATTGAAACCGTTATCGCTGTCATATCTTGCGTTTCTGCTTTAGCGGGGTGTGACACATATTGCATACTAGAGAGAGAACATACACTACACTAGTACATACAATACATATACAAGAATACTATAACATAAATGTGAGTCACTACTTCAGGACATGGCATCACTGCTGTGGCTCATTTTGTAACTAAAGTCTCTTGGAGGGAGAGCATGAATTTGTGTATAGATCTATACAGGACCGACCATCCTACACCTTGTTGCTAGCTACAGTTGGACCTGCAGGTCTATGGGTGATGAATGTCATACCATTTCGACGTCTTCGAGCGTCGTGTTTTACTAGTCGATCAAGTATGGTTACAATTATATCACATTACACCTTAATTAACAACCGGTTTAACGTAGTTAGTACAACATTAGTTACTCTATACAACGCTACAATACTTTATTATTTTCCCATTGCATTCACATTGTGATCTTCTCACATAAAAGGTAATGTAAAAACTATATTTTGTTAATAATAGTCACACTTGGGAAAGATACACACTTTTACAAGAAACAAACATACAGGACATTTGATGCCCTGGGAGAACGCTACTTTTAGTAGAAAATATAGGATTTTCGAGGAGATACAAACATTTACTACAAACATTTACAAACTTATACATCAAACACTGACAAACATTTTCATACAAACAATGACACTAAAATGCTTATGAACTCACCAGCTTTAAAGTTGATAAACTCTTTCAAAATAACTTTTATTCTCAGGTCATTAGTAGACAGGTACCGATGTCAGGTTTTGAGAAGATGGAGCACATTCAATACTTGTCTTTATTTTGATTGTACATTTTTAGTGTCTTATAACTATACAGAATACACTTGTATTAAATTATATTATTAATGCAATGGATGATGTTGTTGCTTGTTTACTATTATGCTTTGTTGTGATACTATACATAACCTCCTCTGCCCCAGAACGTTTCTGCCGTTCCGGTTTTGGGGTGTGACAGGCTTCCACAAGGGCATTGGGAGATGTTCTACAACATCAGATACACAGAGTACATTGCCGTTGTCTCTAAATTCAAGAAGCCTAATCTACCGCCTGTGTGGAACGCAATGTTTACTCTGATCTTCAAAAGCTTTTCCGAGAGGGTAACAAGATCAAATTCTACTAGTAAGTTGTTTCTCACACTTATGTATGGTGTTTATTTTGCTATCAATCTCAATTTTAGATCTGTTCTGTGGGTTCAGCTTGTACAGAGCACCTTGTATACCACAAGGCACAACGAAATCTCCTGTACATGCTTCTAGATGATTGTGGTTCAGTGGGCTATCATTCGTTGCAATATTCTAGTGGTTGAGAGTTTTGCTATGGCAAATATTTAGGTTTTCAACACCACCAACATCACCATGTCAGACTCTTCATGCTTTTCGTTCATCAGATCTATCCCGGAGACACTGCTTCGCAATGTATCGGCGGCGAGCAACATAATCCGAGCCTATCTCAATTTGCCAGCATCTGGTCCTTAACCCAAGACCGATGTAGTACAACAGGTTCTTGAGGAGGAAAACAAACTAAAGAAGGGCAGAATGAAAAGAACTACGAAGTATCGTCCATCTGAAACTACCTAAAGTCCCAAGAAGAAGTTCAAGCGAGCAGCTCGCAAGCCATGAACTCCAACATCGAGCGACCAAGGAGATCTGGATTCTCTTACCATCTGAGAGATTCCAGATACAATTCAGCATTAAACAGATGCAACTACTGAGACTTCATATCCAATGGTTTCGGAGCCTATCACTTCTAATCCTAAGGTAACATTCTCGATACCAACTTCAGTTCCGATCGCAGATGATTTTTTCTAGGATTTATTTGTTTTTTGACCCTCCTCTACTGTCTCGACTCCGATCACTATCGCTCCTTGACCAAATGTCTCTATGGGTGTTTCGTAACCCCAATCTTCTCTCGTCCAATCTACTCCCTTGTTCACTGATTCTATAACTACCACAACTACAACCACTAGTGAACCTCCAATTTCAATCAATGCATCTGATGTCGGGGTAGGTGCTTCAAGTTTTACTTTTAGTCAGGGTTTGCATCCAATCTCACCTCTCCAACAAGACAATTCAAATACTGTGTTTAGAGGTGATGACAATTTTGAAGCATTCACATTTCATCCTTTTACGGTTCGCGAAGACAGTGATGATGATGCTCCCATCACTAAAGCACAACACAAAGCAATCAATGAGAAGCTGGATTCACTGCTTCAGTCCTCCAATACCTCTGCAAGCAGTGATTATTCTCAGGCAACAATCAAATATTTTCTTAAGACCATAACTAAGGAGTACACTGCAAATCTTAAAAAACCAACAAATCAGTTGCTAAGTCCGCCACCACTTACAAGAAATGACCGAAGATATCGATAAACTAATCTCTGATGCTCAATCATTCATGTCACTTTTCTAGACTTCGTTTGAATCGAACACTACAAAGGCGAACGCAGTTATCACCAGTCTTGGATCTACCCTTCGGACTGAGAAAGATGCTCTTGAGCAAGTTCTCACCAGCATTCAGTCAACAAATACAGAGTTTCAATCCTCCCTCTCTTCCAAGATAGAAAAACTTCATGAAGACTTCGCTATGGAAAATAAAATCATGGACGACCTTGCAGTCAAAACAGAGAAGGTGAAGGTTTTATACGTCAAGCTCAACCATGCTAACAAGCGTATTGAAGATCTTCTATCTGAAAAGGTTGTAATGAAGAGTTGTATTACCGGTGTGAATTCCTTACTCTTGAATATAATTGAGACTATTGATTCTCTAATCACGATCACTGTTCGGAAGCATTTGGCTGAAAAACATAGGTCGGTGTTCATAATGTTGAACAGACTTGAGGGTGTTTCAAAGTCGGTAGCACCTCCAAAACAGGGGGGAGAACAAAGCAAATCCTTTGGTGCTTAGACTAATGAATTGAAGTTTAATGTAGCGTTGGGTTCGAAAGGAAAAGAGAAAGTGATAGATGATGATGAAGTGGAAAAAGAGGACGAAAATGCAAAGCTAAAGCGCAAAGCACAAGGTGATGTTCTTGATGAAAATCTGTGAATTGCTAGGGAAGCAGAAGAAATGGAAAGAGAGCTTTGTGATGCTCAAATCACTCTTGAAGCTAGAAAGTTGTTATTTCCTCCTTGGTCTATGGTGAGAATTTTAAGAGAAGCCATTGAAAATCCAAGCATTCACTGGTTAGATCCAATTACTTATTTTGATCTAGAAAACACCATAGATTTGCAACTGGATTTCCCTATCACCTTGAAAGCGTTTTTTTTCGTAGCTTTGAGGTAGTTGCGAACGCTAGACCTAGAGTTCACAGAAAATAATTGTTGTCAAGGTTATTGGGCCAATACAAACCGAGAGTTTTGTCAACATCAAATTTAAAACAACTCGAGGTTCTGCGAATTCTATGTTCGAATTCTCTCTCATAGACCTGTCCTTTTTGAATCCTTACGACTGGATCATACTAATGCACCTGTTGATGAAAGAAGAAAAGAAATATGAACCAATTTTTGAACATATCAGGAGGATGCTGGTTTCGTACATCCAAAAGGTATCAAAGATGGATGTTGAAATAGCCTTGGTATTGCGAAAGAAACCAATTGTTCTTCCCGAAGCTTTTGAGAAAGACAATTGAGAAGATGAAGCTCAGGATAATTGAGAAAGATAACTGGAGCATGATGTTCTAGCGGGGATCGAAAGAAAGAGGAGACATCCAAAAATGTCTTTTCGCTTTGCCTGATAAACACTTATTTTCCACTACGTTCTTGAACTACATTTTGGAAGTAACAAGCATTTGCAAAGCGAATGATGATGCTGCAAAGAAGTTCTATTCGGATATGATCAGATGGTATATAGCAATTCGCAGTATCTCCTCAGTATTATGCCCAAGCTCTTCAAGACGCAGATTCGAAGACAACCATGAAAAGACTCCTACCTCAATTTATGCAAAGGGGGAGATTGTTGGGTCATATGTATTGTGTCATTGTTCATTTATTTTTAAGCCTATTTTGTATAGTGGGTTGGCCCTATAACAACTAATGGGTTTTGAGCACTATAACAATCATATGTTGCACATACAAACCTAATGCTTTGCATCTATGTTTTCTCAAGTTATACATGCAATTTTTATTTTTCCAAAACATGAAGCCTAACTAGCATACAATCTAGAGATTTACAACATAAAACAAGTTAGATGAATACCTCTAGGATTTAACTTGTAGAATTTGGCCTTTCAAGACCTTAGCACCACTAATGTGATACCTCAAATAAGTCACAAATACTAAGAACAATGGAGGATTGTGAGAGAGAGGCTACGAGGAACCAAAATCAGATAGGGTTTCTTCTTGGAAGTCTTGGCCAATTTTAAGCGGGTAAGGGGTTATATTTATAGTGTGTAATTCTTAGGGTTTCATACATAGAACCCTAATTTACCTAGACCTTTAGGTATTCCAATGATCCATACGATAGGCCATTGGACTAACTCTTCATGGACTCCTACATAGATTTAGCCCATCCCATAATCAACATGGATCATTATCCGAAACTATAAGTATTACTGATTTACCTAATCAGTCCTTATAAATTTAATCAGTCTCTTTTGATCTCTAAATTAATTCCAAATTGATTCTTGATTAAAGTAGTTAAATAATATGATTTTTCAATTAATATATTTTTCATATAATATATTAATAAATCACAAATAACCTCTTTCTCAAATATCCATCCTATCAAATTGCTCCGGTGAAAGCAACCCAAAAGGACCATGCTACTAGTAGTTCAAGTACATACCAATTATAGATATGGGCTTAGACACCTAATTCAACAGTCTCCCACTTGGATAAGTCTAATAACTATAACTTCCAATGTAACTTCAAAATTCAATTAGCAATCATAGCTCTAAAAAGTCATTGTCGAACTCTAACCTAGTAAATAATGCATCCTTTATATAAGGGATCATATATTCCTCCATTCTACAAGATATCATATGGACTGAGACATCGATTATAATTATTTTCTCTGTCCATGTGTTGTTTCCATATTTCCGACTTATGACGGCTGACAATCAGACTACAATTAAACACATCAACTTAGTCCAGGCATGGCCAAGTGCTTAGGGTGTCATCACTAAATCATCGAGAGGCCCATAAACATTCCTTTTATCCCACTTTGGGTAAAAGGAATGGATAAATTTCGACTTATATTCGTGTACTATTTACTTATCAAATCACATACAACAATACATTTTATAACATCAAATTACTGATGCGTATTTGTATTTTCAATGCTCAACCGACTTGTAGAGACCAACTCATATGTCTCCATTTCAAGAATATAACACATTATTGTCTCACAATCACTCGTGATAAAATCCATGAAGTGATTCAAAAGAGCGTGTGTTTAATCTAATACTCAAATCTTATTTTAGAAGCAGTCATGAACACTACAACAAACTTTTCTATGTCTAAATACTTAGACAATCTACAGTCAGATTCATGACAGTCTTACCTCATTACTTACTTCCAAAGTATGATTGACTATAGATGTTTGAAAAACCTAGTTATCCAGGAAGTAAAAACATGTGAAGTGAAACACAAGAATAATCGAAACAAATATTGTCTCAAAACTTTTGAATATAAATAAAACACTTATTATTTCATCACCATATTAATTGCACGTTATTCATTGTATAAGGTTTCGACTAATCAACATAACACTTGAATTAAAACAACAGTCATCCCATGCTCCAAGCATGCACACTGTGTTTACATATGGTCCTTATCTTTGTGAAATAGATCAATTGAGGACATTTCCAATGATGCTCATTTCAAAATTCCAAATCCTTATTGTAAGTGTAAGATTTCAAAATTCTTGTCACTATTAAAATGTGTTAGATATTAAACTTATGTGACTACCCTTTTTCAACTTCAAGTCACCAAAATCACAAAGATTTTGCCAATGATATTACAAAATATTCCAATAGATATTGCTAACAAAACAATTCCATGGAAGCGAGGTCTCACATTCAAAGTACATTCCTTTGAACATCCTACTTATATAAAAGTTTCTAACTTACACATAGATTCTTAATATCCGACTCTAACTATGGAAACATTTCAATAATTTCCATATGTCTATCAATTCTAAATAGATTCCTATATATTCAAAATTATATCAATATGGTCCATCCATTACTATACTTCTAACTATCCGCAAGAGACCAATCCTTAGCGAACCTTAGATTGTCCATAACAGTTGTTTAACTAGTTTAGTCATATCAAGTTCTATTCCTTTTTTTTCTTAATGCCCTAGGCATTTGGAAAAATTAGAACACGTAAATATTATATCATATGTAATTGATCCTCTACCTGAAGAATATGAGACACGATTCATAATGACTTACATAAAGACATGATACTTTACAAGTCTCTTGCTATAATATTTCCATACATAGAATTTCTTATGTTGAAACATTTCCACATGACATTTATATATAACCATGAATAAGTCCTATTAAAACTTTAATCTAAACTCTTAGATTCGAAATGATGTATGAGTTTCTCTCACTTAAATCCTACTATTGTGAGATAGTTTTTCAAACTCTACAACTTTGCAAATTAAAACTTTTTTCCTATATATATAGCATTGCTAACTTGCAACACACAACATAATAATTGTGCTCCCACTAGCCGAATAATTACATTCTCACAAACATAACACTTTTGTGCCCACTAGCTTTGACATGTATTCAGAAACCAACTGGACTTCTAGAAATCAATACTTATTGACTTCTTACCAAAGTTCATATTCCTAATACGTGGTGCTTTGAAAAAAAAAATCTTGACTTCTCAAGACCATACACCTTTCATTAAAAATCTCAAATGTGTGTCTAAACTATTTCAGAATTTATAGCGCTAAGTCCCAAATGTTCAAACCATTTGACATTTCTCACAATTTGAACTATGAAGAGGGATGTCGTAATCATAATCGAAATTGAGAACGTAATCAACACACCAGCTAACTCTTCACAATCTACGTAGTGAAAGTGTTTCCTCAAAATCACTTTCATGAAGTAGAGAAACCTCTTGCCACTTAGATTTATGAGGAAACATTATCCTATGACAAGGTTTATGAAAAATCCGAACTCATGTGTACTTGAAGTAGTGAAATTTGTCATTTCCAACAATTATCATAAGACAAGGTTTAAGACAAATCCAAACTCATATGGACTGAACTTTCTTATCTTAATTTTTTGCCATTTGATAGCACAACAGCCTACCATTGCTTCCAAGTTATTGAGTAGCTCACCCTCACTAATCAATGAACTTTCACTAATCAATGTGATTTGCCTTATGCATTCAAATGAGAACTCATAGAACTAACATGCATTGTTAACTTAACTGAGAATATGTCAACATGATAGGATGCAAACCTAAAGTCGTATGCTAGAGATAAACAATAGGTTTATTCTTGATCAGTTCTTGAAACTATTCAATATCATCAAGACTCCCACTAACCTCTTGACATATAACATTCTCTTGTCAAGAAATATTCGTTGACAAATAAATATTCAAGAGTTAGTGCGGATTCTTATTAAGAAAACCACTTCATACAATTGGTCTTAGTTGGTCTTTGTTTTATCCAAAACATCACAACTACAAATCTATAATGTGCATGAGTAAGTATAGTTTTCTACTCCACATTTCATGATTCATTATAAACCTACTTAGGATATCTGACTCAAGGCGCAATCATGGAGTATGACTCGAAGACTCGATTTTGAAACGAAGTATGACTCATCTTTCTTGATTTAACCATTTCAACAATTCCCGATTCCTCTTCTTAGTCATATTATGCATTAAGGTGTCCTTAGAGGATCTATTGTGACATGGTTCCATAATCATTAGGACGAT